TCTATCTATCTATCTATCTATCTATCTATCTATCTATCTAATGTCTGTGTGTCTGTTACAATTATATTCCATCCTTATCTAGGGGCTCAAGGCAGCATAAACAGTAATTCCTTTTCTAAATCTTCATAGTAGCAATCCTGTGAGGTAAATTAGATTGAAAGATTTGTTTGATATGATACACAGGACATATTCCAAGAAACATTTAAAGGCTTGGGCACATGTTTTATTTCATTGTCAATCAACTTCAGTATTCTAGCTTGTAGACCCTGATCAAAAATATCTAATAAACTTTAGGAACAAACAAACCAGGAAAGCTAATCAAGAAGAAGGTTTTTGTTATGCAATAGTCAACTGATTTCAATGGACTCTTTCCTACAGCATAACAATGGCTTGGATGACTACTTTCAGGATTTTGTCTTGACTTAAAACACTACAATTGGATCAGAACTTGGATGGGCTGTCTACTGCTGTGTTTCAAAAAAAATTCTAAATAGACAAATTTGGTTTTATTGTTGAGTTCCATCTGAATTTGTAAGAATATACTAGCAAGAAAAAAACTTGGAAAGAGAAAGAAAACATAGAAACAGAAGAAGCAGAAATGAAGCAGAAGAATGACCTGTCAGTTTTTGCCAATTTAAACATTTCTTGGTTGCTAACACATTTTTTCATATAACCAAAAACACCTATGTACAGGAATATCACCTAATTACACATACAGAACTCAAAATGAACAGAAATCAAATTGGTTATATTTTTAATATAAGAAAGTATAAGAGTCCAGTTACAACAGTAAGAATGTCATGATCTCATCATAGTTAAATTACAAATCAAGCTAGAAGAGAACAAAACCAACTAGTTTTTATAATATAACCCCATGTATACAATATATCCACCACTTTCAAAGCATCCATTAGGAATTGCTTCAGAGTCTTCCAGTAAAAAAAATGGCAAACTGAAAACAGGTCCGCTAAAAATAGTAATGTTCTACATTTAGGCAAGAAAAACCAAATGCACAGGTATAATATAGGTGGTACCTGACTCAGTAGTAGTAACTGAAAGGGATCTTGAAATCCTAGTGGACAATCACTTAAATATGAGCCAGCAGTGTGCTGCAGCTGCCAAAGAAACCAACACCGTTCTAAGCTGCATTACCAGAGAGATAGAATCAAGATCTTACGGAGTGTTAAGAAGATTGGACTAGAAGACCTCCAAGGTCCCTTCCAACTCAATCCATTCTATTATATAAGTGCAGAGGTGGTATTCAGCAGATTCTTACCAGTTCTGGAGAACCAGTAGCGGAAATTTTTGAATACTTCAGAGAACTGGCGAATACCACCTCTGACCAGCCCTGCCCCCATCTATTCTCTGCCTCCCAAGTCCCAGCTAATCAGCTGGGTCGTCTTTTGTTGCCCTGCACTGGAGACTGAAGCTGGAAAGCAGGTTAGTGGGGTGGGGAGGGAATGGGATTTTGCAGTAAACTTTCCCCAGGAGTGGGGGGGCAATGGAGATTTTACAGTCTCCTTCCCCTGCCACACCCACCAAGCCATGCCCACCAAGCCACGCCCACAGAACTGGTAGTAAATTTTTTGAATCCGACCACTATTTAAGAGGTTATCCATTTATCCATTCAATGGATCTTGCATTTCTATGGTTGAGAATACATTATTGACTTAATGGACCATTGTGGATCAATCATAGGAATATTTCTCTATAGTGAGTGGCCCATAGCAGAAAGTGAAGATCTCCTCAGAGCTTTTCATTAATTTATGAGAGAAAATTGCCTAAGCTGAAATTGACAATTGTGACCATAAACTAAAAATGAGCCAAGGGTATCCACAGAGAGGAAGTAAGCCAGGAATCTGGTAGATATACTTCAGAAAATAAATGAAATGTACCAAGTTGTTAAGAATCAGAGGATATATATAAGAAATATCAGAAAATGGATAAAAGTGGCACTACTAAGGAAGTAATGGCAGACTGAAATGACTCTACTCTTTGAAGAGCCTACAAGTGTGGTAGAATGAGGAGCTGGTGAATAAACCAGCTTCTTGAAATTGGTCTCCAGGCAAAGGGATCACTCACAAGAGTTCCATACAGAGGGTCCCAGTGGGAAGACTGTAAGGTAGTGGTCTCTGGTGGATTTTAGAAAGTCAGCTTTGCCCAAGCCGTGGATTCGAGCCCTCAAACAGATGTTGGGTTCACACTTCCTTCTTATTCGTTTAAAAATTGCTTGTTCACTGTTTTTTGGGATATAAAGAACCTTCAAAATGACAAATTTCACTTCACCTGGTGATTCACTTTTTATCCTCAGCAAAAGAAATTTGATGTGAGTTTAAGAACTAAAAAATAATGGGGGGTGGAGCTAGTTGGAAGGGATAACAGACAGTGAATTTCTGCCTCTTCCGGGCCATTGCAGAGAATGGATTTAAAAAATATAACACCCATCTAAAGATTATGAAATTTCTGAGATTATGAAATGAGAGTTATTTCCCTTGCTTTTCTCCTGAAAATTGGACTGTATTTGACTCAGAATTGGACACTTTGCAGAGGAGCTTTGAGCTTGGATCGGAGGTGGTATTCAGCCGGCTCAGACCGGTTCGGGTGAACCAGTAGGGAAATTTTTAAGTGGTTCTTAAGAACCAGCAAATACCACCTCTGGCTGTCCCCACCCCTGCCCACCCAGTCACCACTTGCCCCCACCCACCCACTTGCCACTTGCCCCACCTGCCCAGTCGTTCTGTCCCACCCACGCACCTGCCCCACCCCGCCACTACTTATCTCACCTCCCCAGCATAGCAGCACACACACTGTGTGGCTCCTCACCTGCCTGCCAGTGCCTTCCTGCCTGCCTGTGGCCAAGTAAGCCTGTGAGTCGTAACCAAGCTAGCTGCCCCCCTACCATCCCCGCCTACCTTCCCCACTCCCTTCCACATGGCCCGCAGCCCCGCCATGCTTCCCTGCCTTCTCCGTGCCACTTCCTGGAGGTTTCCACACTTCCCACTGCTTCCCATGCTGTCCAGGCCCCTCGTCCCGGCTGCTTCCTGCTGGTCCTGGCTGCTTCCTGCTATTCTGGCTGCTTGCTACTGTCCCAACCACTTTCCACTTATCCTGGCTGCTTCCCACACTCACCAGAGCTTCCTGCACTGTCCAGCAGGTAGACCCCTCATCTCAGCCATTTCCTGCTTGTCCTAGCTGCTTCCTGCTCATCCCACCCATTTCCTGCTCACCCCGGCTGCTTGCCGCTTGTCCTGGTTGCTTCTCACTGTCCTGGCCACTTGCCGCTCATCCCGGCCACTTGCCATTCATCCCGGCCACTTGTCATTCATCCCGGCCACTTGCCGCTGTCCTGGACACTTGTTACTCATCCCAGCCACTTTTTGCTCATCCCAGCCACTTTCCACGCTTCTCAAAGCTTCCCACAGCATCTGGAATGCTGGCTGAATCTTGCTGATGGCTTCCCGGGTGGCACTTCTTTCTTCTCCTTGTAGCACTGAGCTGCTTGGCTTTTGAAATGGCAGCTTCTCTGGCTGCTGAACCCAAGCACTTTGAAATCCAAGAGTACGGCTTTCAAAAGCCAAGAATCTCAGTGTTACAAAGTGCAGAAGTGCCAGGAAGCATCAGAAAGCTGAAAGCTGTTGCTTTCCCAGACTCCAAGGACTGAAGATTCTATTTTTCAATCTGCAGAAAGGTAGAGCTGTTTGTGAGCCTGCGAGAAACTCTTGAATCTACCTGCCTGCCTTCACCTAATTTGGGATAAGTTGCTCTCTTTTTTTTTTTTTTTGAAATTTGTGGCTGTGAGATGTTGTTTGTTTCTGTGATTGTTTTCAAATGGTGTTGTATAATTTTGTGAGTTTGCTTTGCTTGCAAGCAAATTTTATGTTGTTTTATATTGTGGAATTTGTGGCTGTGAGATTTTGTGTGTTTTGTTATGCCTGTCCTTGATGGCT